GTTTTTGGATTAGACCTGGGCGAACAAGTGCTTGGTGGGCGAATTTTGTCAACCAAATAGTTTTTTCAGGAGTTAAGTTCATGAATCGAGAATAGAGATCTTGAATCGAGCTAGAGTTAATCTCGTCTATCAACGGATTCTCTCGTTCAACGGATCCTAATCGTTCACAACAACTAATAATTATTGACAAGCACTGTCTTTACGTTATAATTATAATAACCACACGTAATTTAAATAATTATTAACACATGCTTGGCAGACTATAATGGGCAGTCACATCTGGCTCCCCAGATGCTTTCTGCTCTATCTGATCGAAGACAATCGTCCACGTAGGAATTCCGTCTTAAGACTTGGCAGTTTCGATACTGATCTCTTGTTGGACATCGTCAGCAGCACGGCGAAGAGTGAAGTTGGAACAGCTTGGAGATGATACCGCAACAAAAATGTGGACATTCATTTGATATTCCACTAACTCTTTCGATAAATCTCCATCAGGCCACCACAAAAAACGGACGAAATCACGTTGATCTTCAGGAACGATGACTTGGTAAAACATTAATTCTATGTCGCCCATAAAGGCATGAATTTCTTGACGGAATCGTAATAACACGCCAACAAGAGAACTTATAAGATCTGGTCCTTGTAGTAGATTGTCATTTAACGATACTCCTTCGAATTCAAACCTAGCACTTAACGATACTCCTTCAAACACCACGCGGACCTTTTTGGGCTTCTTCGGGTAGTAAACGGCGTGGTGGGGCAAATACCACACAAATACACACTTTCATGAGTTCATTATATTGCTCGTGCAGACGACGGTCTCTGAAAAGTTTCCTCTTTAACGAGTTTGCTCTTATCTCAGCTTGAGTTCTATTGCTGGGCATTATGACATCTTCTCGCCATTTCTACAGTGTTAAGGAAAAGCTTATCTTCTTGGGAATGGCTACATTCGTCCGTGACTCTTCTTTCGCTGAATTCGATTTCCATCATCTTGTTGAAAGCTTCAGGCGTAATTACTTCCTTGACCACTTTATTGACGGAAAAAGGATTTCTTTGTGATGGAAAGATACCAGTTTCTTTTGAAACGGTCCTATTGCAATTGATTGCAATGTCTTCACTCGTTGATATTAAATTTGGTCCAACAATCGTCCAACCAGCAAATGTCCTGATTACAAATGAGCCACTATTCTTACTTAATTGCCACCATATCCCTAAGTTCAATTGTTTCTGGACAATTTGACTAATTATAGAAGGCTAGCTTTAATGTTAGACATGAAAGGGTGCATATGATCTGCGATTTCAACCAAATGGAGCCACTTTCTGGCACATTCTGGTTGAGGGATGTCTTGCTCCGTAGCTGGAATCTCATCTTTCGTGTAAACTTTGGGTAAATTGATGGAATTTCGACCAAAGTTTCTCAAAACCTTAACGTTATAAAGCTGCTGTCCATTCATTGTCTTCACTTGAACATGAGAATCTACACCTTCCAGATCTAGTTGTTGTTGAAGTTCTTCGAAAACAAATATTCCTGTGCAACAGCTGTCCAGCATAGCATACGTCATAACTTCTGCGCTGGGTGATCTTAGCATAAGCTGCACGAAAGGCATAGTCTCCGAAGCGTTTTCTTGATCAAGCAATTGTTCTGGCATAGTGTTTGAATTCGACTTCACAGTCATGATAACTGTAGTATTTGCTTTCTCGTTCTTATTCTCATTTTTATTTTCCTTTTTGTTACTATCTTTGAGTGGTTACTCCATTTCAAAGCGAAAATTTTCTTGATAGAGACCAGTTGGATGTCGTTTAGAGCAAATTTTACAAATCCGCTTTTGCAAGCAGCCTCGGGATCGGTGTTCTGAAAGAAAGGCTCTTTTTCCATGCAATCATTTCCCTTTTTGAGTATTTTTCGTAGTCATCCAAATCGTGTGTTTCCTTACAAAAAGGACAGGGATCTATCTTCGTTGTATTGCTCTTAATTTTAGGGTCGATAAGTTTACGCTAGTTCGTAAAATCGATGCTCCGTACCTTAAAATCAAAGCTCCGTACCTTAAAGGCTTCTCTGGAAAATGTAGGATCAGTGGCAACCTTGACTTCTTCTTCTATAAAATCTGCGAATAATGTTGAAATCATGGGAGTGCTGATGTTTTTCAGGCGAGACTTGGACGCCTGACGTCTCAATCTATCTTGCAAATACAAAGGCAGTTTTTTCACCAATGCCTATAATTCTGTAAAATGTGCGGATGGTCTAAAATGTTCAGATCAGATAACGACTGCATAGCACTTGTACACTGTGTCAAAAACGTAGAGAAACGTTCAAGAACCCCGTCGTTATTAGACTTGATTCCCGAGCCGGTGCGGAGCACCGTGCGAGGGTACTAATTCCGCTCGGATATTTACACCCACGATGTGCAAATGCGAAATCAAAGTCGTCCGCCATTCTGCAATGGACCTCACGCCATGGACGGTCTTCTACGTTATGCGCATGCGCCAGTGTGAACTACTAAGCTCTTGATTGGTCGAGACAAAATTTAAATTTTTAAACGTCAATGAATAACTGTCATTTAGCAAAATTTTGATAAAATTTACAAATTTATATTTTCATAAATATAAAATATATATGTATTTTTATTAAATTAGAGGAAAACTCGAATGAGGTCAGGACTTTTCACGGTTTAAAAAAAAATTTCCACCGAATTCACCATGTATAATGAAGTCGGAAGATTTTACACTTGATAATATTTCATCCGGCACAGCTTTAAAAAGTAATTCTTTTGTGGTAAACACAACTTTAATATTCTCAAATGTATTTCACTATAAATCTGAATGTGTTATGTGATAAACGACATTATAATTTATTTTATAAGCTCCGTTTTCATAATGAAACAGAATGAAAAGAAAATCAAAATATTCGCGTGATAAAAAACAAATGGTCAGTCGAGGCGTAACATCATACTGAAACTTCGGAAATTGTATGAGACGTCTGATGTTATATTTCATGGTATTTAATAATTAAAATAATGTACAATAACACTGACTATAGATGAGCAACTTAACTTCCAGAAAAAGGTAAGAATCTTGTCGTATTTTTGCCATTTTTTCGCAAAAATATGAGGGTAAACCAGTAAACTTTGATTCTTTAAAAATGTACGGCCGTTGCGAGTTGCTATGACTACACTGTTTCCACGGGCAGGAAAATGTTTCCATACTTTTCTCAATTTCTATTTCTCACATACCATGTACCCTCCAAAACCCCCAAATTAACCCACATAAATTTTCTAACAATCATGTTACCATCCCTACGCTTAACTAATTTCGTTTATCCGAGGCGAGGGGTTGCTGCATGCATGTATTTCTAGTAACCGACCAATCTATTAATTTCTTGATGAAGGCGTTATCGCGGCTGCATATGAGAATATCCCTTTATTAGTTCTTTGCTTCTCCTTCCAAGTGCTGTTCCAAATAGCGCAAACGGTCGTAAGTAAGTTTCTGGCCAAACTGCGTATTGAAGCCACGAATAAAAGTAGTGTACTCAATAGGATATCCCTTAAACATTGGAAGAGGAAGTCGAGGAAGAAGAACTTGTTGATTATGCTCCATTAACTTCTCCGTGAAGTTGCATTGTTTGTTAATCAACAATCCGAATTGTTTTTCACTAAACGTTACACCTGTTGTTCGTGTCGAATGTTCATCGATGTCTCGACGTGTCGACTTTACCGCTGTCGAAGAAACAGGTTGTTCGTCTGAACTGGCTGACACATTCGTAAATACTGGCTGGTGACGATCTTGATAATCTTTAGGTGGTCTAAGAGTAGTATTAATCCATACGATTCCTTATCCTTCCTTAGGTATCTCAGATACATTCGGTTGACTTAACTCTGGGTTGATAGTGAATCTCGAATCAGAAGATAGGAACAAAGGAGGAATGTCTGCTGGGAATAATGAAATCTCTGCAGCTGTGACAGTGTCTGTAGTGTCAATTACTGTTGACGTGGTCGAAATAGTTGTATTCCCAAATGCACTCGTTGACGTCAGCGCAGCTGGCACATCCTTCGAAGTCATTTCATTATAATAGGTGTTCATAGCATTCTTCGTGTCTGGGTCTTCAACTTGCGAATATACACGTTCACGGGCTTCAGCAATCGCTAACTGTTACTGTAACAGTAGTCTCTCGGTTTTGTTCTCAAGATCTTGTTTCCTTTCCAGGGTTTCAGCCTTTGCACGTAATTTCGCCACTTTAAGACTCTCTTTCATCTTTGAAGTCACACTAGAATCTTTTGAACTAGCCGAGTTAGACCGATCAGAACGCAAAGCTCGCAAGGGCGTTAAATACAGGGTGAGTAAAAAAAACTGACACCTTTGAAATTCAAATTAGCTGCAATGTGTCTGTAATCGGCTGTAATGTGACACAAGTTGCCTAAAATATCTAATGGGTATACGAAGCATATCAAATAAGAGAACCCATTAATTGACCTTGAACATAAAGTTTGTTCCCTTTGGGAGTTAAATGCATTCTAAGCTCTGTAATAAAAAAGAACGTTAAATCAGTTCAATTGGTTTAAACACTTTCGCATTAATTAACCACGTCTTGTTGATTGTACACAATGGGAATTGTTAAATTCCAACCATAAGTTTGCGGCTAATTTGAATTGTGTCAGTTTTTTTTACTCACCCTGTACAATTCATCAAATTATTCTTCTATTCTTTGCTCCGTGCTTCAGCCAACCATACCTCGATATCCTTATTAAATTCTAACGCTCGTTTCTTTTGTTCATTATACCATATGATACCATCTGATTTCTCTTTATTAGTTCTCAATAAATCATACCAACACGGACAGGTTTCTCTCAATTCATCCAACATAGCGACCAGCACTTCCAATTCTCGTTTAACCATATGCGAATTATCATAATCGGTCGCTAATGAATCTATTTTTTTTTGTGTGTCTCGTTAGTCACTTATTAGTCACTTATTGGATATGCTTCGTATACCCATAAGATCTTTTGGACAACTTCTGTCTCACTTCTGTCTCATGACACATTGCAGCTAATTTGAATTTCAAAGGTGTCAGTTTTTTTACTCACCCTGTAGACTCGTCCTCTTTCGGTAGGATTTCTTTCTCTCCGCTGCTCTTCAGGTGCAATTCGATATCCATGTCAATAGACGAAGATGTTGACATACTCGCCGTTTCGACACGCTTCGTTCGTCGTTGTTTGTTGTTTCACTTTACGTTGACCTTAAAGCTCGGTTTTTCCACTCATGTTACGGCAGTATTCGTTTAAAGTATTTCATGTAAGTATATAGCTTTCGTTTATGACGTTTTTGTCGATAACTACACTGCATGATCATGAAAGCCGAGTATTCACAGGTGAATACGTACGAATATGAGTTCGAATATGAGTTCGAATATATGATTAGTATTCACACATATTTACAGATATTCACTGTGAATATCCTCGGAATATATTTTGGGGTATTCCGACGTTAATACTTGTGAATAAAACACACCCCATTTCTCACATAGAATATGTTGGAATATTGCGTGAATAATTTTTGAGGTTGGATATTCACACTTGGTCATATTATTAAGTGCTGTTGAATAAATATAGAATAAGCGAGACATTCACTGTAAAAATTTGCCGCTAATTTTGTCTATAGTGCCAAATATATATATATATATATATATATATATATATATATATATATATATAGCCTTGTTGTGATTCCGCAATCGCCTGCTAGTGTCAGCTATTGACGATAGCGGCGCGAAAATGCTGATATAAATAATGAAATAAGTAATACTGTAACTCACCTTAGTCACCTACGAACTTCATTTGGAAATGTTTTAACCATGTTCAGTTTGTTGCACAAATAAGATGCGGACAGATAGAAATATATTGGCGGTACATATGTAGTGAAACTATACATCGCAACCATGGAATGATATGAATGTTTCAATAGCTATCCTGCCTTCCTGGAATGCCATGACTACGAGCTCAATATGTGGTATCAAAATCAGACAGAATAATCACACAGACAGACAGAAATGTGAGACCAACGCTTTTATGGTTGGCATCAGCACAACTTTTTTGTAATTTATTTATATTATTACCTAATTAGGCAAATAGAAAAATTCATAAAATCATGCACTACCAAATAATTAATTACATGGAATGACTTTATACATGATTGATCATGACAAATCATTTTCTTATATCCTATTTACTCTACGTTGAATTTTGTCTTTATAAAAAACCTGGTTGACAATTAGTGCCTGAAATAAATCAGGCTGCCAAGTGTGGTTTGTGCAAATTAGGAGTATTGCCATTGATTGTTGCAAAGTGTATTCAAATGCATACATATGTACTGTTCAATGTTGGTACCTAGTGCTACTATGAACACTAAACACTTACCACAGTGAAAGTATGAACTGATAATGCAGAAAACACATGTTGATCATGTCTTCTAAAATAACACTGATACTTATATCAATAGAGAGTTAAATACTTAGATTGACTTGCCGAAAGAAACTAGTCTTGACAACAAGCTGCCCAAAGATAGAAAATCTTAACAGCTTAGAAATCCAAGCCCGACTGTGTTTCTTAGTTGTTTCCTACATGTATATTTAACAATGTTTCACCTAAACTTCTACTTTTTAGTTGATTACACTTTATCATTCTGTATACATATATGGCACTTATAATGTTAGTACCTGCCCTAATTATGATAATAAAATTTTACATAAATATAATTGCATACATATTCAATAATTCACTCTTTATTTTGTCTGACATACTCCAGGGGTGATAATGTTTCATATATACTACAACATTGCTATAATTTAGGAAGTTAAGTGTTTACCACAGTGTAGCTATGAACTGATTGCCAAATGACTGAAGTCTTAACTACCAGCTGCCCAAAGATTAAAAACCTTAACAGCTTAGAAGTCCAAGCCAGACTGTGTTTTTTTAAGTAAATAAAAATAATTACGTATATATTCCACAATTCACTCTTCATTTTGCTTGACATACTCCAAGAGCAATGATGCTTCATATATACTACAACATTGCTATAATTTAGGAAGTTAAGTGTTTACCACAGTGTAGCTATGAACTGATGTACTATAAAGACCAAAGATTTAAAATCTTAACAGCTTAGAAGTCCAAGCCAGACTGTGTTTTTCAAGTAAATAAAGATAATTACTATATTCAACAATTAACTCTTCATTTTGCTTGACATACTCCAGGAGCAATGATGTTTCATATATACTACAACAATACTATAATTTAGGAAGTTAGTGTTTACCACAGTGTAGCTGTGAACTGATTGCCAAAAGACCGAAGACTTGACAACCAGTTGCCCAAAGATTAAAAATCTTAACAGGTTAGAAGTCCAAGCCAGACTGTGTTTTTTTAAGTAAATAAAATATTTACATGTATATTCAACAATTCACTCTTCACTTTGCTTGACATAATCCAAGAGCAATGATGTTTCATATATACTACAACATTGCTATAATTTAGGAAGTTAAGTGTTTACCACAGTGTAGCTATGAACTGATTGCCAAAAAACTGAAGTCTTAACAACCACTGCCCAAAGATTAAAAATCTTAACAGCTTAGAGCTTTTTTTAGGTACATTTGTAAAAATAATTACTGTATGCAACCAGTTTTTTATGATTTAGATAATTTGCAATTAATTACAGCAATAATGGATAGTGTTCAAATGTTGTAAACATTAAGCATCACATTTTCAGTGATCTGTTGAGAACTGTACGAAATCTCAAATAATCTTATCATGGCATATGGTATGCAAACTAATATGGCAACCTAAAGATCATGTTTGTTCATATTGATATTTTTGTTCATAGATAAGCTTGAAGGACAATAACTGCTTAAACATTCGCACAGACTGTCAACGCATAACCCAAAAACGTTTTATCACAAGGTAATTCGTGAAAGAAATGTAAAGATACTCACCACATGGTCATAGGCTATAGGGTAAGTCTATAGGTATAGTATTCGTTTTCATTGTACACTGGTGAACAAGTAACATAATGTACCGTGTGCATCTCGCCATGCAATCTCATTTCTGTTTTGCGCATTTTCTTCGTGGGAATCGCTGCATACAAATAGCCGCGACCAGAGTTTGCAGACTTTACTAAGCCCTTGGCGTACTGACCCATATTTATTTTTCGCTAAAAAGCTTTCTTACAAGTATGAATGCGCGATCCTCAATCAATTTTTATTAACTTGAAAGCGCGCTTTTTGCGGCAAATTATTTTATTTATTTATAAAATTCGACTTCCATTTTTGAGCATTCAAAATAAAGTTTAAAAAATGTCAGTGTCAGAAATTATCTTGTGGAAACATGGATTAAGCGAGAAGTGAGATATTCCAAGCGTGAATATTGGTCGGAATACGCGCATATTCACAGCATATTCACACTTAGAATACTTAGGAATACGATGCCGTGTGAACGATGCCGTATTCACACTAATATTCCATGTAGGAATACGCTTGCAATATGTGTTTTATTCCAACCAGTATTCACATGGAATACACACACTTAGAATACTGCGTTTATCATGCAGTGTACGGTAGAAAAAACGTACCCGTACCGAACTACCCCCTTCAGTAATTGTTCACAAAAACTAATAATCACGATCATGCATTAATTGACAAGCACCGTCTTTACGTTATACATATAATGACCACACCTAATTTAAATATTAAGACATGCTTGGCAGACTATAATGGCAGTCACAATACCAATTCAAAATGTAAACGAAGCGTTTGTTGACATTACGGACTGTACCTTACTTTAAGTTTAAATAACTGCAACGGTGAAAGTAAGTAGATTTATTAAATAAAATTATAACTTATTTGCACCAAGTCCAAGTTCTCTAAGACGTAACCGATTAGCCAGGGTGAACTTTGCCTTGTAACTTCTTTCTAAAGAAGGCTGTTTTGCATTTTTGCACGTGGCTCGTGAGCGTAAAACTTGAAATCCATCTCAATTAAGCTGGTTATAAATTTATAACGATAATATTGCGACGTTAAATCACGTAATTATCGGAAGGGTTTATAAGCATTTCTCACAAAACATATTATTAAAATATGATCTATTCTAAAACTACAGACGGATAACAGACGATCACAGAAGAATACAGACGAGCAACAGACGAATACAGACGAGTAACAGACGAGTATCAGACGAGTGACAGTCGGTAACAGGCGAGAGACAAACGAGTGCAGACAAGTAAAAAATGACTTTAGACGAGTAACGGCTATCTTAAAAATGAGGAGTGACGAGCTGGGGAAATGGAAAGTTAGAATTGAATTTCCCCATTTTCTGATTCCCCCATTCCCCGATTCCGTAGTTCTAGAATAGATCATTAAAACATACCGTAAACCACGCACCAGTGGCGTAGCCAGCCCGACGATTTAGTCGTGCAATGCAAATTTTATGTTATTATCATTATTCATTTCTTTACAAATTTATTGTTTTCACAGTCAATGAACACCAAAATATTAGCATAGCATGATTAAGGGGCTGTTTACATGAGCCCGCGGTTATTCGAGATTCAACGAAGCGTGAGAGGCTTTTGAGATATTGAAATAAGTCTTTAAGACACCAAACAAGCACATGCTATTGTTGTGGTGATTATACGACTGCGAGGATGATGTTATCTGCTCGTTTCAATACCTCAAAGTCATCTCACGCTTCGTTGAATCTCGAGTAAACAGCCCCTAAATTGTCGGGCTAGCTACGCCACTGCCACGCAATCCGTGAGAGGTCTTCACACTTCAATCCAACCGTGACAAGTTATTCTCATCGATATATATATGGTGTTGATAGTCGTCTCCCATCATCAGGTATGAATGTCGCAGCTATAATATCGCTATAATTTATTTGATTAAAATAGAAACCTAATTTTCTCGTAGTTCTTTCTTACGATTTTAGTTCAATGTTCGCTCGTCCTTGCCCACCGCTCTGCTCTTAATTTTATATGCATGCATGAGTGTCTGTTTATTCACCATTATTCTTACAATGAGAATACATAGGTTCGCTTGATTCTAAATACGTTTATTGATTCGTCTCAGCGAAGATTTTATGCTTATACTTGCTTGATGTATATGTTTATGATATATATGATATATGTTTATTTGCTTGAAACATTGCGTTCTCAGGAACACTCTAGATCTTAATGGCAACTGCAACCAAGCCGAACACGGATTCATGCTTTGATTATTTTGAATCCTTAAAGCAATTTGTTGCTCAGAATTTGAATTAGTTGATTCCTGGTCCCACCCCGGAAAGAATAAGAATTCGTTGTGTGCGACCGGAGTCAACACAAGCGAGATTCTGGGTTAGCTGTTTATATTAAGCGCAAGTGTCTAAATGTGATTAACTTAGATTAAGATCAACGATCCGTGAAAGATAACATCAACTATAGCAGTCGAGCCATATGTCTGATGTTAAAGAAGCAATTGAAAGACTTAAGCTCCGGTCAAACGAGAATAAGAGTTGATAAAAGTTACAACTAGTGCTCCCGCTAGCGTTTGATCGCGAACTGTCCTTCACTCTCGTGAACTCTTATGGCCTTTGAACTGCTTGAAATTTTTATACATGCATGAGGTCCGTTTCCGACAACGAACTTTTCATGTGTCGAATCGAATGCAAATTAACCTCAACAAAGAATTTTACTCATTTGTTACATAATATGTTCGGCACATCGACGAGATTTCATGTCCGTTTAGCCGGTCATCAAAGCCGTCATTCTCATTGTCGCCGGATGAGATGGCATCTCAAAGTGGCTAGCTTATTTTAATTTGCGATTTTGTGTGAATACTGGACTGATTTTAATAAAAATAGAACCATTCTAAAGAGGAAATTGTCCTAAGTAGATACATGCTTTTTTACATCGATATGTTGCCTGAATTCGCTATGTCTATGATATTCACTTTAAAATGCATGCGATTTATTTCATTATTCAATATTACACATCAAAGCGCCCAAATCTATAAAATATTGCCCAAATGCAAACTAAAACGGGTTACAGTGATTTAGTTCACACTTTTTGGATTATTTTGATATCCTTAGCGTAAAAATCGAGCCTTTTGAGGTTTTTTGCCGATATTTTTGTCGACTTGTAGCAAGTCAAACATTGGCCGCAGATAGATAGATAGATACTCGAAGTCTAATTAGAATTGCATATGATTACATTTGCATGGGATTTCAATCATATTACACAATATATGCAATTCTAATTAGATTTCGAGTATCTATCTATATATCTATCTGCGGACAACGTTTTTGTTAACGGGTGTATATATATATATATATATATATAATAGCATAAGCAAAAATAACGACCCAAAAATATTTAAATGACTAAGCACACTACCAGTACAAAGCAGAGTTTTTGTAGTCTCAACTTATACCCAGACTCGCAGTATAGAGTCGAGAAAGGTTTCGTGATCGTAACCACCCGTAAAAAGTACAGTTTTTAAAAACGTGCGAAAAGACTCAAATGCAGCAACGAGTGTAATCATTGAACAGTGTAATGCATTACGGGGGCAGCCTGCCGTCATCAGAAAAGCAGTTCGCGATATGCACAAGCGTACGATAGTTTGTGTTGAGAGAAATGGAGACCACGTTGAAGGACATGGTCCATGACATTCAGTTCTTTTGATGTTTTATTTATCAGTAATTTTTAATCCGGATCGCAATGTCAAGTGAATCTGTGTCAGATCAAGTTGTAATTCATTCCTGACTCATGAAAACATTTTAATAGCCAGGGTTTGTAAAATGCATGCTGAGCCATTCCGGATTCAAAGTCAATTCTAACTCATGTGAACAGCCCTAATACTCGCATGAAGTGTTAAAAATTAATGGCAAATATTTGTTCATTTTTTGAAGGAACAGCTAAAACAATCTACCATACATTGTGCTTAGTCATTTGAATATTTTTGGGTCGTTATTTTTCTTTATGCTATTAAAGTTATTTTCAAATTCCCAGGAGCAGATAATCTTGTGTACAAACGTCAATTCATTTTCTAAAGGTCTCCTTTTTTTAATGTATGCATGCACGCCATCAATATTTCACGCACTACGGTTCAGTATATGTGCAAATGCAATTGAAAAGGCATTCAAATTTTAACAATAGCTTGACTTCTAAAGGTCTCCTTTTTTTTATACACCCTGTATATCTGTTCTACATTTAAAAGAAGAAAACTGTTGAATGTTTCTTAAATTATATCGATGTTCGTCTTCAATCAGGGTTGGGTGGCGCAATAAGCGGCCGCCTGATGGTATCTTTTTAATTGTTTTCGCACAAAGTTCGCTTCTACGATTATCAAGTCTAGGACACTGCAGCAGTTCTCGCGCTTCACTGTAAGATCGACCTGGCGGTTTAACCCTCAATCCGCCTTTTTGAACTTTCCCAATTTCGTCAGACAGATAGGTACCCACGCAGACCAGAATGCCACACTGTACAATAATATTCTGAAACAGATCTAACCAGCCCGTAGTAAATTGCGATAAGATCATGTGGTGGAATCCCTACTCGTTGTACCACTGGCGCACATTGCCAGTACACGTGACACTTCTGACAGACGTGGTCACCTGCATGCATTTCTATTCTGTTCCAAATTAATATATTTTGTAATTCGTTCATAATCTTACGACACGAATCACAGAATATCTCAGCTTTCTTTAGAAAAGGCATCTAGAAGCGGTCATCAAGTGCAACCCATGCAACTTAATTAAAATTCACAAATTCAGATTCATAGCCCTCGTATACGCATATAGCGATATTTGTCCACAGGATGCTCGGAAATTTACCATTTTTGACCATTTTTCCTTATTCCGAGCAACTTCTCTTCTATCCAAACAGCCGAACGCCTAAATACAAAAAAAAAGCGGAAAGGGCAAACTTAAAGTCTAAAGGTGCGCGTAAATTATTGCGCGATGAATTCTGAGCATCTTGTGGACAGCCCTTTTTACGGGGCTTGTCCTACACCGTCAATTTGTCCTCAAAAAGAGATTTCTAAAGAGATTTCCTCCTTGGATCCCGTGTATGCCTTAATTTACGTAAAGAATTCTCTGCGCACGGAAGTACACCATAAATATTATATTCTGGTATTACATTATTGCGCTTTCTTTCACAATTCAATGTACGTAACAGCTACATGCAATCAAATCATTTTGGCGGTATACAGTTTTGATTATAAGTATATTGCGTTGTATCGATTTACGCGTCGAAGTTCACCGCGGTTTATTTACATTATTTACAACGCAACTATTTTGGCTATTCCTTTGAAATGACGGGTCATTTGTTGCTATCATGTACATGTAGCTCATGTAGTCACAGTTGCTTACTGCAAAGAGAAGAGACATGGTGTTTTTTGCCGAATCCTGTAATGCTAAACTGAGAAAATTTGGCCCGCTTTGCATGAGAAACAATATCACAGCAAACGTAATTTGTGTACTTTGAGTAATCCCTGTTTGATTAAGGGTAATGTTTAACCTAGTACTTTATATTTTTACTGCCATATTAAAGTCAAAACGTGTATGTTGGGACAAATGTCTAGTTGCTTAGCACGACCTGGCGTGTTTAACTTTCAACTATCCTTAGATCCCTACTGAGTTTAAAATTTAATTTCCTCCTGGAGATATAGTGTCATTAAATAAAATGATTGAATATCACGCATCTTCTGATTGGTCGAAGCCCGTGTTTGGATCAAACTATCGAAATACTGAAACCATAAAATAATTGTTCAATATTTCACTCTAATATTTACCCTTTTTCTTTTTACCAGGTCTATTGAGTCTAAAAATGGAGATTACATATTTGAAGCCATTTGTGTTCTACGCTTTTTTTCTGCGCCATTTTCTTACTGGTCTCGATATTTTCATCATTGTACCGACTGCCTGGTATTACGTCAAATCGCTTGGACAAAATATAACTTTCTTTGGAATTGTTATGTCAGCATACCAACTGAACTCTCTTTGGTCCAGCCCTATCATTGGGAAATTAGCGGATAAATTTGGACATTATAAATGTATCATCGTCGTCAGTATGTTTTTGAGGGTCATCTCCTATGTTATATATTCAATCCCAGTCTCTGCCTATTTTCCCTTGGCAGGCAGATTGTTAGCTGGTTTTTCCAGTGGATGTATTGGAGTTATTTTTGGGCAAATAACATTGTATACACCAAAAGAACACCGCGCGCAAATTTTTATAATGTTGGATGGAATATTAACCTTGGGAACTCTTTTTGGTCCGACAGTTGGCGTATTTTTTACCTTTAATGCCAATATTCTTGGTTGGAAAATTGATGCTGGTAATTCCCCAGGTATTGTTTGTGGAATATTATGGTTTGGAATGTTCGTAATTTCACTTTGGCTTCCTGACGAGTTTGGAACAATGAAAGTGGCAGATGATAACGATGATGATGTTCTTGAAACTCAAGATTCCAATGAAGAACAGAGATATGGTTCTTATTCTCAAATTTTCTTGATATTTTACCTTGTAATTTTAAGCCTCTTTTACTCAAACACGACAACAATTTATGTCCCCTTGCTTGCACAAGACCACTTCCATCTTCAACTCGTTCATGTGAAAATGTTATTCCTCGTGTGTTCTTTATTTTCAATGGTTCTTTTCATCTTGTTCTACATTGCTGCGAAATATTACCATGAGACCCAATTGCTAATTTGTTCTATGCTAATCCAGTTAACTGCGTTAACGTTGTTAAGCTTTATTGCGTTCAGTTGGGACATCGCGTTCGGTGTTTACGGTGGTTATATTCTCTTTCCTTACATCTGTCTTGGAATGCCATTCTTTTCCTTTTCTTTGGGTTGTTCTCTCTTGTCTAAAATAACACATCAAAAAGACGCAGCCTTTTACCAATCTTCGTCAGTTGCCGCACTTCAACTAGGATATTTGCTGGGGCGTTTAACCGCATCCAACATTTTTGCCAAGACATCACTTTTGTGGTTTTGTTTAGCGCAGTTTTTATCCTGGACACTTGGTGCTGTCTGGTTTGCTTTAGAGTATCCCTCCTTACGAAGAGCAGGGGCAAATATAGCTTAACACAGTTTAATCGCTACACTTCTAGCGCTGCTTTCAACGATATGGGACCGGTACTGAGATAATAAAATGGCGATGACAGAGCTCGTTTGTAAAATTACCCCGAATTTGCCGTAATACGTAATATGTTGTAGCTCTCTTCTGTTTTGGAAGTTTTATGACGATGCAATTTGTGGAAAAGACGACTTTTGCGTGACTTAGCGTTATCTAATTATACGTGTTGACTAATTGATATAATGTGTATTAAAGTGAATAATTATATATAGCTCTTACTGTATTTTTATGAGCCAATTAAACATGTTATTAGGTGTTTTAAATAGGAAATTAGACCGTGAAATTCCCCTGAATCCCTCACTGCCACAGGCAATGGCAGGGCTTTTGCCTGATCACAGTTAATAGAATATACATGGTTTTGAGACTAAAATAAGAGAACAATTCAATTCATCTCGTCAGGTGTCTATTGCATGTATTTTAGCCAAATTTACCAATGGCATTGCTAACCTCGTCACCCTTGACTTGAAAAATATGTTAATTAGAAGATTGCTATTGGTTTATCTGTGCCAAATACAATAGACATGTGATGAGAAAGACAACATTTTTTGCATAAATTTACCTCAACATCGTTAATGATTGTATTGTAGTTTTATGTGGTCTCCAAACCACGTGGTCTCCAAACCACTTTGGCCTGATTGACCTACATTTAGGAATGTCAAACTTCGGCTTGATAATTCTTCATATCATGTTCAACCTCATTCAATAATTGCTAATTATTTCGTAACTTGGGGTTTGAGTGAGGAGATGGGTACCAAGCACTTAGCAAAAAAAGGAAACAATGCGCTCCCTTGACTTCAGTTTACACATCATTTCAAAGTTTTGAAGATCATTAGAAAAATTAAATCTTAAAGTGGTGTTATCATAAATCTATTCGGATGCAAGATTGATGCTGGTATTTCCCTGGAATCGTTGATGCAATTATATAGTTTGGTCTGTTTCTAATTACGTAATGTTTTCCCAATGAGTTTTGGAGGATAAAGGTGACAGAAGCTTATACTAACAACGCTTCTGGTTATTCTTTTTTAACTGAAGAATAATTTTACAAAAAAAATACCAATATGACTACAAGGTAGAATCTAGTATTTTATTCTGACTTATATACCCTGCTTAGATCCACCACTGGTTAAGTACACAAAGGCGACAATGATTCGACTTCGTTTCGGTTTATAGGGCCATTTTGAAACTCAAAATATCTAATCAATAAAATATGAATATTAACTGATTATTGACCGAACGCGAGGTCTGGCTCTTTTAAAAAACCTCCTTTTATTTTGCACAAGTTTATAAAACGCTTTCCCAAAAAACTTTACGAAATGACGGAATTGCTGACGTTCTCATTGAAATATAAACTTTCTGTCGTAGCCAATCAGCACGTTGTTAGAAACTGTGAGACAGCGCGAGAACTGGGATTGACATTATAGTTGATTATGTTAATTTATGGAAAAAAACAATAACATGTGCTTTTGAACACGGAGCGAGCGAGCTCATAGAAGAAAACTTTTTTTATATTATTATATTTATAAATATTTTTAACAAAGCGAAGTGATCAGGTTTGAATTATTCAGTGTCTCTGGGACCATTCCCCACACACGCGTACGTTGTTGATTAGCACCGTTACTCCTGCATACGCATAACAGACTTAACGACCGTCCACCGTCCATGACAAAGAATTTGAACAACTTTGGATTCCGCAAACGTAACGCAAACAAACGTAACTGTATCAAACTGGTCTATATTCCTCCCAAGTCTCACATTCAAAGTACGTGGGTGGTTGTTGGCTGCGCTTGGGTCTCGTACTCTGGTTGGCGTGGAAAGTGGCATGAGACAAATTTTGCAGGGGTATGGATGAACTGGGTAGAGTGTATGCCGGTTGTACTATGGCAGGTTGAAATGGTGGACCGGGAACCAAGTCCTCGTTTTCACTGTTACTTTCTTTATATCGTCGAGGAGAAACATTTGGCTCCCGACACGGAACTGCATGACACTCAGTAATTGTCATCGGAGAATTTTCTAACGAAGCACCATGGCTTGTCAACGGATACGACTAGGTAGGGCTTTCGTAGACGAGTCTTGTCATGATCAAAGCGTAAATACACGAGATCGCAGACATGAAGTTATCGAGTTTTAGCGCAACTTGACTTGGGAGTTTATGACATTTCGCTGTACGGGTGGTTCCTTAATTTTAAACGGGTCTGGTGTTGTTTGGTGACAATATCTCTATCGTTCACTGGGATTTGCTCTCAGATGCAGAAAGGGATAATACTGTATACACGCGCCTAAGATGTGGAAACAGTTTTTCCTTTAATTAGGTTCAACACAATCAAAGATGAGATTTTTAAAAAATTATTTACAATGTGTTTTACAAATATTAAAAGTTAAAATAATAAATATCTAACTATTTTACAAGATGGCTTAAAATTTTTATTACACTTAAAAATTACTTGTTAAAAATTACTTGTTTAATGTGCTAATCATGGTAGGAAAGAAACTATTTTATATCTATCTGTTCTACATTTAAAAGATGAATATTGTTATGCAAACGTGGCAAGTGTTTTTTGAAGATTTAGATATTACTTAAGTGAAAAATCATAATATACATCCCTTTCAGTACTGAAAAATTAAAACTGTAAATAGCATGATGGTATTGTTGTGTCACTATAAGAATGACGTTAAAACAATAAGCTTGTGTGTTCATTTAGTTGGGATGCAATTTCAAAATAATTATAATGAAAAATGCAATAGAACATATGTTATATGCAGGGCCGTAGCTAGAAGCTTAATTGGGGGGAGGGGGCGTGCATATTCATTTATTGGTCATATGCCCGAATGATTCTTTTGTATGCTATTGTTCCTATGGTATATAAACATGAATATATGAATATACACCCCCCAAATTAAGCGGTCAAGCTACGGCCCTGGTTATATGGGAATATACCTTTTCAAAATAGCAAACAATACATGTCAAAAATAGTGGACACATACAATGCTAATTTTTCCCTTTTGGCGCATTTTTGCCATGTTGAATCTTAGTTCTAATAAAATACTATAGATAAAACTTTGATTTAAGCCTAATGATGTGATGATACCCTCAGGATGTGAGGATACCTTAATTTTCGAGCTGTGAAAGTCTGTATTTTTAGTTCTTCTAGGCGAAAATGCAAATTGAAGAAGAAATAAGCCCGCAATTTTTGGTCAGCGCGAGCAAAATGCCCACCTGTTTCATTCCCCTGCTCCCCAGTTCTCCCGTTCCCGGATCCCCCTATCCCCCATTCCCCGATCCCCCGATTCCGTAGTTCTAGAATAGATCATTAAAACATACCGTAAATTGACCACGCATTCCATGAGAGGTCTCCATACCTCAATCCAACCGTGACAAGTTATTCTCACGGATATGGTTATAGTCAGCTCCCATCATCAGGTATGAATGTCGCAGCTATAATATCGTTATATTTTACTTGATTTCAATTGAAACCTAATTTTGTCGTAGTTCTTTCTTACGATTTTAGTTCAATGTTCACTCGTCCTCGCCCACCGCTCTGCTCTTAATTTTATATGCATGCATGAGTGTCTGTTTATTCACCATTATTCTTACAATGACAATAAATAGGTTCGCTTGATTCTAAATAGGTTTATTGATTCGTCTCTGCACAGATTTAATGCCTATTCTTGCTTGATGTATGATTGATCCGGCTACGAATATGTTTATTTCTTGAAACATAGCGTTCTTAGGAACACTCTTAATGGCAGCAACAAAGCCGAACAGGAATTTATGCTTTGGTTATTTTGAATCATTAAAGCAATTTGTTGCTGAGAATTTGAAATTAGTTGATTCTTGGTCTCACCCCGGAAAGAATAAGAATTCCCTTATATGTGTTAACGGAGTCAACACCAGCGAGATTCTGGGTAAGCTGTTCAAGCGCAAGTGTCTAAGTGTGATTAAGATCAACAATCCGTGAAAGATAATATCAACTATAGCAGTCGATCCATATGTCTGATGTTAAAGAAGCAATTGAAAGACTTTAGCTCCGGTCAAACGAGAATAAGAGTTGATGAGGGTTACAACTAGTGCTTTCGCTAGCGTTTGATCGCGTCAAACGTCCTTCACTGTCATGAACTCTTATGGCCTTTGAACTGGTTCAAATTTTGATTACTGAGGCCCGTTTCCGACGGCGAACTTTTCATGTGTCCAATCGAATGCAAATGAATCTAAAATAACTTGCGATTTCTGTATGTGTAAATACTTTACTGATTTTAATAAAAATATAACCATTTTGAAGTGGAACTTGTTCTCAGTGGACACATGTTTTTTTAGATTGATATGTTGCCAATTCGCTATGATCGATGTCCACTTTAAAATGCATGCGATTTATTTATTATTCAATATTACATATCAAAGCGGCCTAATCTATAAAATATTGCCCAAATGCAAACTAAAACGGGTTAAAGTGATTTAGTTCACATTTTCAGATTATTTTGATATCTTTGCGTCAAAATCGAGCCTAAACAGGATTTTTGCTGATTTTTTATAATTTTTATAAACATGCATGCATGATGATATGAATTATCGCATCACCGGCAATACTATTTCACATTCACAATAATACAAATATCGAAAAAAAAATTCGGGGAAAAAAATTCGAAAAACTGACCCCTTGGTCCAACTTTACGTCACGAGTTGATTTTTGTGGCCGAAAACGCTATTTGTCCGCCTCGTTTGCAATCCTACCCCACAAATTACTCAGAATTATAACAGAATAATATTAATAATATGAAAATTCAGATTATTTGAAGATCACAGAGAACAAAAAAAGCAAAAAAATACGGAATTTCTAAAGCTAAGTATATCGTTGCCATGGGTCAGTAATTTGAGATAACAAAGCAACCTATTATTTTGATTCATGTTTTGACTTATAATGCAAATGCAGCTTATCACTATAATTATGCTGGTTTGAATATACTATTCAAATCGTCTTTTCAAGCTCTATCGTTTAGTGGTGTTTCGGGGTCTTGACATTAAGAAGCAAAATGAAGATGCATGAACATATCTTAACTCGAGTGGAGAACCAGTAGCATACAGTTAATTAATAACACTTTCATGATTATCAGGGAAACTTTTATAACTAGAAAACATGAATGAAACAAATATTTATTTTATTTAAAAATTGAGATAATTCGTTTATATTAACAAAACGTTTATATTGAGACAAATGTCTGGTTGCTTAGAACAATCTATCTAACTTTCCACTATCCTTGGATCCCTGGCTTAAAATTTCCTCATGGAGATGGTGTCATAAAATAACATGATTGAATAAAACGCGTTTTCTGATTGGTCAAAGCCTGTGTTTGGATCAAGCTGTCGAAACATTGAAACCATAAAATAATTGTTCAATATTTCACTCTAATGTTTATTCTTTT